CCTGAGATCACTGATCCCCATTCTCAGTGTCTCTAGACTAGGAACATAAAATTAGGAATAAATATCCAGTATCCTTGAATCCTCATGATCGTGATCTCATCACAGATACTCAAGAGATACCTATTTTATTCTAAGGGGTTTATCCAGTTACTCATATATAATATTAACAGTAATATTGAGACAAAATATAAAACAGGATAAATAGTGCTTTTATTTATTTGCGACAATACAAAGGTCCACATATGTCCTAATCTAATTAAAAGATTGTCTCTAGGACATCCATATACTAACAAGCTCCCACTTGGCCTAGAGCCAATCAGACCTAAGTCGTATACCTAAAGCCTCATAATGACTATAATGTTTTCTATGAGAAACAGCCTTTGTCAGAGAATCAGCTAGGTTATCATCTGTGGGAATATAATCCATCTTTACATCCATCCTATCAATGATTTCTCTAATCAGGTGATATCTGCGGAGCACGTGCTTAGGTCTTTGATGAGACCTAGGTTCCTTTGACTGCGCAATGGCTCCAGTGTTGTCGCAAAGCAACTGTATGGGCTCATCCACGCTTGGAACCACCCTAAGTTTAGATATGAACTTCTTGATCCACACGTCCTCCTTAGCTGCTCCTGAAGCAGCTATATATTCAGCTTCTGTCATTGAATCTGCTGTTGTCTCCTGCTTGGAACTCTTCCAAGATACTGCCCCACCATTTAAGGTGAATACGAACCCTGACTGTGACTTGCAGTCATCTTTGTCACTCTGAAAGCTGGCATCAGTAAACCCTTTCACTGTTAGCTCATCAACCCCACCATAGACCAGAAACGCATCCTTAGTTCTTCTTAAGTATTTAAGGATGGTCTTGACTGCTGTCCAGTGACCCTCTCCAGGGTCCGACTGGTATCTGCTCGTAATGCTCAAAGCATATGAGACATCTAGTCTCGTACATATCATGGCATACATGATGGATCCAATAGCCTAAGCGTATGGAATTTCACTCATGCGATCCTTCTCAGGCTGTGACTTAGGACACATAGCCTTTGAAAGATGTACCCCATGACTGACAGGAAGAAAACCCCTTTAGCATCTTGTCAACATACGTGGATTGAGATAAACCCAGCAGCCTCTTGGATCTATCTCTACAGATCTTTATACCAAGTATAAAGGCCGCTTCTCCCAAATCCTTAATGGTGAAGCTTTTTGAAAGCCACTCTTTCATTGTTTGTAATGTGGGGATGTCATTTCCTATTACCAATATGTCATCTACATAAAGTACCAGGAAGACGACATTACTCTCACTAACCTTCTTGTAAACACAAGGTTCATCCTCGTTCTTGATAAAACCGTTACTCTTAACGACTTCATCAAAATGAATATTCCAACTCCTTGATGCTTGCTTTAGCCCATATATCGACCTTTGAAGTTTGCATACCATATGCTCCTGATCTTTGATTTCAAAGCCCTCAGGTTGTGTCATGTACACTTCCTCCTTCAAGAACCCATTCAAGAAGGCGGTCTTGACATCCATTTGCCAAATTTCATAGTCGTGATATGCCGCTATTGCAAGCATGATCCTAATAGATTTGGTCATGGGAACAGGCGAGAAAGTCTCATCATAGTCAACTCCTTGTCTTTGACGATACCCTTTCGCAACCAACCTAGCTTTGTAGGTCTGAACGTTGCCATCTGCATCAGTCTTTCTTTTAAAAACCCATTTGTTACCGATAGGAACTATTCCTTGCGGTTTAGGAACCTAGGTCCATACCTTGTTTTGATACATCTAATCCATTTCAGATTCCATGGCTTCAAGCCATCTAGAAGAGTCAACATCCTTGACTGCCTCTTCGTAGTTACTTGGTTCATCATCCTCGACGGTTTGCTGATTCTCAATCACAAACCCATACCTCTCAGGTGGATGGATGACCCTCGTTGACCTACAGAGTTGTGTGTTTACTTCTCCATTGGAGAACGTCGCCTGCGGAGCAGACTCGGGTTCCTCAATCTGTTCATGTGGTTCTTGAACTTCTTCAAGATCAATCTTACTCCCACTGGCTCTTTGAGAGATCAAATCCTTCTCAAGGAACTCAGCATTCTTTGACACAAACACCTTGTGTTCATCCATGGAGTAAAAGTAGTATAGTACCTTTGGGATACCCCACAAATAGACATTTAGTACTCTTAGCACTAAGCTTGTCTGATGCCAACGCTTTGACATAAGCTGGCGATCCCCATACCCTGAGGTAACTCAGGTTGGGTCTCTTACCATTCCATATCTCATATGGTGTGGTCTGAACAGATTTAGACGGTACCCTATTTAGAAGGTATGCCGCTGTGTCTAAGGCATATATCCCCAAAACGATTTTGGAAGTTGAGTCTCACTCGTCATAGACCTGACCATGTCTAACAAGGTCCTGTTTCTCCTTTCGGAGACACCATTTGGGTGTGGTGTGTAAGGTGCAGTAAACTGCGAGAGAATTCCATTTTCTCTCAGATAATCCTGAAACTCATGGCTTAGATATTCACCATCACGATCTGATTGTAATGTCTTAATCATCTTGCCACGCTGTTTCTCTTCTTCATCCCTAAACTCCTTGAACTTTTCAAAGGCTTCAGATTTATATCTCATTAGGTACACGTACCCAAATCTTGATTTGTCATCAGTAAAGGTGATGAAATAGGAGTATCCTCCTCTAGCTTCTATAGACATTGACCCACAAACATCAGTGTGAATGAGTTCTTATAACTCACTAGCCCTATGACTCTCAAGCCCTTTGGGCTTGTGACAAGTCATTTTCCCAGCTAGACAACATTCACATTGTCCATAGGATTCCAAATCCATGGAATCTAGGTATCCATTTGCATGCATCCTAGAATATCTTGTTTCGTTTATGTGCCCTAGTCTACAATGCCAAAGATAAGATTGATTATCTATCCTAGGTCATTTCACGGCTATATTGAGCACTTCAGTTCTCATTTCCAGAACATACAATCCATTTATTAAAGAAGCAGTACCATAAACAATATCATTCGAAATGATAGAAAATGTACCATTCTTAATACTAAAAGTAAAACCATCTTGTTCTAAACAAGAAACAGAAATAATGTTTCTAGAAATGTTTGGAACATAAAGACAATTATTCAAATGCAATAAAAGGCCCGTAGGCAAAATAAGGTTGGCATCTCCAACAGAATGAGCAGCAACCCATGCTCCATTGCCAACGCGGAGGTCCACCTCGTTTCTCTCCAATCTCCTTGGGCTCCTAAGCACCTGCAACATATTGCAGATATGAGAACCACAACTGGTATCCAATACCCATGAGGTAGGATTAACACAAGAATAATTTATCTCAATCATGAAAGTACCTGAGGTAGAAGCATCACCATGCTTCTTGTCCTTCACACTCTTCAGGTAGTCTGGACAATTCCTCTCCCAATGGCCTTTCTTGCCACAATGGAAGCACTCAACATCGCTTTTGTCCCTGGATGCACTCTTACCTTTCTTTTTGTCTTTCTTCTTCTTGGGTTTTCCTTGGGGTTTAAGGGAGTCTCCTTTCGCAGGCTCCTTGCCCTTACCCTTTTCCTTGCTAGGCCCACCAATCAGAAGAGTATGTGTCCTATTGTAAGAACCCGCACCGTTAATTAAGGAATTTAATTAATAAATTATGAGAAAATAGGAAATGATTCCATAATTGACCCTAATAATTATTATGAGGCTTTAATAATTATAGTAAGTGAGTAATAATGTTGAAAGTTGCTTTTCAGAAGAAAAGTGCAGATACCGGTTCTGGTAGCCGGTATAAATGCGTGCCGAAAAAGTATCCCAGAAAATTATAATAAGTGCATGATAATTACTAGAATGATATGTAGGACTTGTAAAACGAGTTTCAAGTCCAAATAATGAGAACTGGTGCTAGAAACCGGTACTGACTTTGAAAAGCGCGTACCGAAAAGGTGCTCAGAAAATTATAAGAAAAATATGATAATTCTTGGAAAAATGTGTAGTTTCAGATTTCAAAGTTTGGGATTAAAATGCTAAGCGTAGCAATTAAAGTTAATACTATGTGTTAATTGGGTAAGTGGCTATAAATACTCTAATCATTGGGCACAAAACCCTAGACCTGATTTTCCTACTGCCTCCATATTCTGAAACACCTCCAGCCACCCTTTGCTACCTTCTCCTCCTTTGTGGTGAGCCAAGGAGCTTCCTTTCTCCTGGGTTTCTTCTCCAAATACCTTGAGGCTTGTGAGAGCTTGCTTGGTGTGGGAGTGTGAAGGCTTTTTTGAGTTCTTGTCACTGTGAGTGAGGTGGAGAGGTTCTGAGTTTGTAAGTTGAAGTTGAGTGTGTGAGCCTTGGTTATGGCACTTTGAGGTCCAAGTGGTGACCTTTGGTGAGAAAGAACCAACCTTTGTGAAGGCATTTTCATTTTCTGTGCAAGTCAGAGTTTAGGAGCTAGTTGTGAGCTCCAAGAGCAACCATTTGCCTCTGTTTTGGCTTGTGGTATGTTTATCACCTTTGATCTTATATTTAGTAATAGGCCTTTCAGAAAAAAATCTAACTATACAGTAACGGTATTTAAGTATGAAGATTAGCTGGATAGCTGACCCTCTTAATCCGTTCTTGCAAAAGAAAGGGTATAATTTTTCCACTTTTTAAGTGAAGTATGATTTTCCCCGCTTAATGGATAACCGTTTGCTATCAATGGGTAGTCTTTCTCATCTGAAATTGCCAATTAAAGTGATTGGGTTTGCACCAATCGAAACCATAAATTCAATATACAATAGAAGAATATAAGAAGCAGAGTATATATTAAGAGTAGATTTTTTTTTTGCAACGTTATTAAGTAAGATGGTGTGAATGGAGTTCTTCCATTCTTAACCTTAACACACCGATACTGGAATAATTTTTTTCCTTTCTTTTTTGTTTTAGTTCTATGATCTGAACGAGTCGCACATACACCCTAGTACACGTTCCTCGACGCTGAGGGCATCCATGAAGGGCGGGGGATTTCGTGACATTTCGGATTGGCTGTCTTGTCTTCCTAATAAGTTGTTTCATAGTTGGCATGGCTAGTCGTATACATAATCAGCTGGTTTCGATCAATCCTAACCCCTGATGATTATATTAGGAATTACTTATATTATATCCTAGGAATAGATTAATTAATAGAAATATTCTATTCAGTCCGGTAAGAAGATTAATAAGATCAAATCAAATCTCAAACTATGTATTCGCGAGGAATAGGAATTTTGGCTGCGAATTCTTTTTTCAAACCGCTACAAGATCAACAATTCCATGGGCTTGAGCTTCTGCTGCTGACATAAAAACATCCCTTTCCATGTCTTCGGATACAAGCCATAAAGGTTTGCCCGTTCTTTGTACATAAACCCTTGTTATAGTTTCGCGCAGTTTCAGTAGTTCTTCTGCTTCTAGTAAAAATTCTCCCGTTTGTGCCTCATAAAAAGAACTAGCGGGTTGATGTATCATTACCCTGATGATATAACATACATAATAAAGTAAAGGTTTATTCTCTCTCGCACGATAAGTCGAGTAAACAATAAGAATAATATAATAAAGAACACAAAGATAGAATTCAACAACCGTACGGGCATCTTTTTGTATTGCATACGGCTCTACTTATGGGGTATGGAATCTCTTTTTACCTTCCATCTAAAAAAAAAAAAAGAAAAAATACCTACTCTCTCAGATCCTAGATCCATAAATGATTCAATAACCAACCTTCCTTTTTGTTTGGGAGTATTTTAAAAATACTATGATGGTTCCGTTGCTTTCTTATTTTGTCTCGTCTGTTATTCAGCAATCCAAAAGTTTTTTTTTTTCAATTTCAAATAGTTATAAAAAAACAATTGTTTTTTTCATATTTTTTTCATAACATAAATCTTGTTAAAAGTTTTGTGGTGTGAAAACTGAAAACAAAAAAGTTTGTGACACCGAAATAGGCTCCTGATAGATCAGATAAAATCGTAAATACCCCCTTTTTCATACTACTCTTTCGATAGATAATCAAATGTTAAAAAAATTCCATATCGAACTCGAAGTGCCATGCTATTATTACTTAATTTTCTTATGGCGAAGGCATAGTCTTTTTTTTTCTTCAAATAAAAAACTCATTGGCGCCAAGCGTGAGGGAATGCTAAACGTTTGGTAATTTCTCCTCCTGCCAAAATAAAAGATCCCATTGAAGCGGCTAATCCCATGCATACTGTCTGTACATCTGGTTGTACAAATTGCATAGTATCAAAAATAGCTATTCCGGGTATTACCCATCCGCCCGGAGAATTTATAAACAGGTACAAATCTTTGTTATCGTCCTCTATACTGAGATAGACTATAAGGCCAATAATTTGATTCGATATTTCACTATCAACCTCCTGGCCTAAAAAAAGTAGTCTTTCTCGATAAAGTCGATTGATTCAGATCAAATTGGATCCATTAAGAGCCGTACATGCACCTTTTGATGCATACGGTTCACCAAAAATCGCAAAAAGGAATCAATGTGTCGATTTCAACCCTTTTTCATATTGATAATCAAAAATGGACTTTTTCGAACTTCAAAAGAAAGGTCTATTTTCTTACATTTTTATTTCAAGAAAAATCAACTTTGGACGCCTTTAATTAGTATTAGTTATTATATATATTAGTTAGATTATATCTATATAAACCTATCCTCTATTATAATAGAAAAAAAAAATGGACTAAACTTATTGAACGAACTTCTCATTGATGTATTGTTTTCGTCGAGATCAAACCCAAATCGCAATGTCATTTTCTTGTTTCTGAATGGGCTTGCTAAATTCTTTTAGGTTGATTTTCTAGTTTACTCACCATAAAACTCATTAGACAGCTCCAAGGATCACTTTCCAAGCTTCAAATGAGATCAAGCACCTATCCTAACTTTGTGGTCACTAAAGGGGCGCCACTTTATTTTCCATGTTTCTCTCAAAATACAACCCCCTCTATGGTGTTTGATGGAGGGTTTTTATCACCAAGCGATTTCAAGTATTTTTCATGTTGGAAGTTTTAAATTTTAATGGCTATTTGAAGAAGTGAAATCTTCAAGCTTGCCTGTGGTGGTTCGGCCATGGGGTCTGTTTTCACGGGAATGAAGAAAAGAAGAATGAAATTGATATGAACCTCATCAAGAACAAGCTTCTTGATAAGAACCATATTAATAAAGAACCTTGACCCGTTATCTATGGAAGAAGATAAGAACTAAAGATATAAGAAAGATAAAGACGCCACACTCAAGAAATAAGAAGGTGAGTGATATGTATGATTTGAATGGCGCAAGAATAAGCTTCTTGATAAGTTCAGATTTCTAGATAATAATCAAAGAGAAGAAACGTCTCTACTATATTATAACTTCAAAATCTGATTACAAGAGTTGTTGTATCCTCCCTTATTTATACTTGGAACATCCCTCCAATAATAAGAAAAGACTAACAAATGAAAAGACACTAATTTAAAGTTGACAATTTGGAAAAAGGAAAAAGACTCTAATCAGGCCACTAAACATTAATGACATTGGAAATGTGAATCAACCCCACTAAGAAATAATAACATTGAAAAAGCTATCAGCCCTACTAAGCATTAATGACATAGAAAATTTCTAATTATTCCACTCAATCTCCCTTGCACTGATGGCATTAACTGAATTCTGATTATGAATAAAGTTGAACTTGATATCTTCATGATTAACCCATATTTGCTGGATCAACCCACTAAGAGCTTCTTTAAACTTCTTGGCCCTTGATCTTGTGATTGGTCCATTTGGCAATTGTAATGGACTGATATTTACAACCTTCTCCAATTTCAAGGAAACAACTTCCAAAGGAGATTTCAAAGGGGAGGTTTAGATTACAAATCCGACCAATATTTACAACCTCCTCCAATTTCACAAACTTTAACATCTGAGCTAGAGAAAGCACTGATACAGTTGACAAAGACAACTAAAGCGTTCATGAACGAGACAAGGACTCATTATAAAATCAAGATGCTTCAATCAGAAATCTGGAAACTCAAATTGGGCAGTTGTCAAGACAATTAGCTGAGAGAAGTCCTGGAACATTCCCCAGTGACACTATAATCAACCCAAGGGAGCACTGCAATGCCATCATTACTAAAAGCGAAGATTTAGAAAAAGTGAAAGCCCCTGCAAGGAAGAATGAGCACACTCAAGAAGACAAGGAAGGAGCAAATGATAAGATCCCCAATAGGAATGGAGGAATGGATTTACTAGGAATGGAAATTCTAACCCCAAATTCATCCACCAACATAACCTGTTAAGAACAGAGCGTATCTCACGCTACAGACCTCGGAATCGGACGTTTCCAAATCGAGGTGAAAGATCTCTTTCTGAATCGCGACTTTGACTCAAGAATCACTGAAAAACGACGCATATATCAGGAGATATGAACCGAGACTATTTTGGACGAAAATTGAAGGTTTTGGGTGATAGGGTTTGATACAAGAATTTGTGAACACAATCAAGAAACAATAACTGGAAGGCGCCACAATCCAAAGATTGATAAGCCTATGAACGCCACAAGGATTAGCACCCTTGATAAGTTCTGAGATCTCAAAAGAACCCTAGAGAAGCTAGTCTCTCACCAAAAAAAAGGTTATCTTTTTATTCTGAATTCCCCTTTCAAAAGCTATGGTGTTCCCTTATATAGTGGGTAACATCCATATTGAGTTTAACCTAAAAGTGCTTACACATAAAAGAAAATAGACAGCACAATAAGCCTTATTACAAAAGTTTAACTGAATATAAGAAAAATAAAATTAAGTGCAGAATTTGGGTCAAGTAAAAATAAAGCCTTCATGCATATCCATTGAGGCTTATTCTTCAAAGTCTTCAATTTGAATTAAGTGTATCATTTTGGGCTCTTCTTCCTTTAGACTTGGGCTTGTCTCAAGTAAAGTGGTCACCAAGAGATTTAGAGCCTCTTTAGCCTTTTTAGCTTTTGCTCTTGTCATTGGACCTCCAAGACCTTGTATGTCCTTCAAGTTTTTTGTCTTGGTCATGCCACCTCATATGTCCTCATCATTCCCTCCTTCTTTAAAAGAATTTGTCCTCAAATTGTAATCCTCTTCTCCTGCATAAAAAATGGACAAATCAGCCACATTAAAAGTAGCTCTTACACCATACTCACCAGGAAGGTCTATTTTGTAGGCATTATCATTAATTTTGGACAGCACTTGGAAAGGGCCATCTCTTCTTGGTTGAAGCTTAGATTTCCTTTGGGAAGGGAACCTCTCTTTTCGCAAATGAACCCAAACCCAATCACCTGGTTCAAAAATTACCTTCTTCCTTCCTTTATTTGCCTGCTTAGCATAGCTCTCTACCCTTTTCTCAATGTTTGCTTTTACCTTTTCATGTAGTTTTCGCACATATTCAGCCTTACTCTTACCATCTTTATGCTGAAAAATAGAGTTGTTAGGCAAAGGTAACAAATCAAGAGGAGTGAGAGGGTTAAAGCCATAAACAAAATTTCAAAAGGAGAAAAATGAGCAGCACTATGAACTCCCCGGTTATATGCAAACTCAACGTGGGGCAAACATTGTTCCCATGACTTGATGTTCTTTTTAATTACAGCCCTCAAAAGAAAAGAAAGAGTTCTATTCACTACCTTAGTTTGGCCATCAGTTTGTGGATGACAAGTAGTAGAAAAGAGAAGTTTAGTCCCCGACTTACTCCATAATGTCCTCCAAAAATGGCTTAAGAATTTAGTATCACGATCAGAGACAATGCTTCTTGGAAGTCCATGGAGTCTTACCACTTCCTTGAAGAAAAAATCAGCAATATGGATTGCATCATCAACTTTTTTTGCACGGAATAAAATGTGTCATCTTAGAAAACCTGTCCACCACAACAAAAATAGAATCTTTACCATTTATAGACCGAGGTAGTCCTAACACAAAAGTCCATAGAAATATAAATCCAAGGGCAATCTGGAATAGGTAAAGGAGTATACAACCCATGAGGCAATAATTTAGACTTAGACTGCTTACATACAATGCATCTTTCACACAATTTATGTACATCACGCTTCATGTGTGGCCAATAAAAATGTTCATGCAGCATGTCTAGAGTCTTTTGGATTCCAAAATGTCCTATCAATCCCCCCGCATGTGCCTCTTTCACAAGTAATTCCCTAATGGAACCTTTAGGAACACACAATCTCTTTTCTTTAAACAAGTAATCATTGTGCCTAAAGAATCCATTTTGAGCAGCATCCACACAAGTTTCATAGATTTGTGCAAAGTCTGGATCATGCTCATACAATGCCTTAATATGATCAAAACCAATGGACTTAGTTTCAAGAGTAGAGAACAAAGCATACCTTCTTGAAAGTGCATCTGCAACTACATTAGACTTACCTTTCTTGTGCTTGATCACATAGGGAAACTGCTCCAAGAACTCTACCCATTTGGCATGCTTTTTGTTATGCTTGCCTTGTCCTTTTAAGTACTTTAAGGACTCATGGTCACTGTTGATGACAAACTCTTTGGGCAAGAGATAGTGTTGCCATGTTTGCAAAGCCTTTACCAATGCATACAATTCCTTATCATATGTGGAATAATTAAGAGCATCCCCATTCAGTTTTTCACTAAAATAGGCAATGGGATGCCCCTCTTGCATCAAAACAGCCCCTATCCCCACATTAGATGCATCACATTCAATCTCAAAAGATTTAGAAAAATTAGGCAATACAGGAATAGGTGCATGAGTTAATTTATCTTTGAGGGCAGCAAAGGCTTTCTCTTGTTTTTCACCCCATTTAAAACCAACATGCCTTTTAATCACTTCATTCAAGGGTGCAGCTATGGTACTGAAATCTTTAACAAATTTCCTATAGAAACTAGATAAGCCATGAAAGCTTCTCACCTCACTTACATTCTTAGGAGTTGGCCACTCTTGAATAGATTTCACCTTCTCTTGATCAACTTGCACTCCTTGTGAGCTAACAACAAAACCAAGAAAAACAACATGGTCTATACAAAACACACATTTTTCCATGTTAGCATACAATTTCTCATGCCTTAGTGCTTCCACAACGTACCTCAAATGTACAAGATGATCATCATAGGATTTGCTATAAATCAGAATATCATCAAAATACACTACAACAAACTTCCCTAAAAATTCCCTTAACACATGATTCATTAATCTCATGAAGGTACTAGGTGCATTAGTTAAACCAAAGGGCTTAACCATTCATACAGCCCATATTTAGTTTTAAAAGCTGTTTTCCATTCATCCCCTTCTCTAATCCTAATTTGATGGTATCCACTTTTCAAATCAATTTTAGAAAAGACACAAGCACCATGCAATTCATCCAATAAATCATCCAATCTAGGAATGGGGTGCCTATACTTTACCGTGATGTTATTCATGGCTCTACAATCA